TTTTTAATAGGTGTTAAAGTTTAAACGATTGAATTAGCAAATCGATTTCTAACGGAACAAATTTGGACTTCTGTCTTTTCCAGATATGAAAAAATACCCGTTGGGCCCGAATCCCACTCCACACTTCTGCTGTCGAGTATCTACGATTCCCACGCTTCTGCTATTGGAAATGCTCMAGAGATCACACCTGTGATGTTGGATTACAAGATCCACGCAGATAACAATTTGTTATACAACACACCACCATGTTATGGGATTTACATGTGTGGATTGGTGTTTGAGGATTTGTTGGCACAGGGTGGTTTGGTGGAGGTTGAGAAGAAGAATGTGAAGAAGGYTCAGATTCTGTATGATGCAATTGATGAGAGTAAARGGTTTTATCGATGCCCGGTTGAGAAATCGGTGAGATCGTTGATGAATGTGCCTTTTACGCTTGAGAAATCGGAATTGGAAGCTGAGTTTGTGAAAGAAGCTGCTAAAGAGAAGATGGTTCAACTGAAGGGGCATCGATCAGTTGGTGGAATGCGAGCTTCGATATACAATGCTATGCCTTTGGCTGGTGTTGAGAAGCTGGTTGCTTTCAAGAAGGATTTCCAAGCAAAACATGGTTAGAATTTTGGGGGTTTAGGGTTTTGTTTTTGTAGCATTTTGTTGTTGCTTGCTCTGTTTTTGATCATGCTGTTATGTTATGTTATTATTATGTCTTGTTTCTGGATCTCTTATTACCCATAGTCCTTTGGAAGAAAAGGGATGGATGAATTGGATTTCAACATGAATGCTTAGGTAGTTCTGTGATTTTATTCTGGGTAATGAATATTTCAAATGAAATGGTGGCATCTGGGTTGCTTATTGATTGAAGACTGACTAGAGTTTGAATCTTTAATTCTTTACTATCAATAGTCAATTTGGTTTTAAGAAGTGTTTATTGAAGCAAATGAAGAACCAAATAGGAATGAACTCCCTGCCTCATAGCAGGTTACAAAATGCTTATTTATACCAAGATAAGAGTGATGTTTCTAAACACTTATCTGGTAAGTGCTTAGAGTGTGTCAGTTACCTTACYTGATGAATATGATAAGGACCAAGAATCTTACCCGGTAAGAGCGAGATAATAACCAAGTGTCTATCCTGGTACGTTAAGTGCTTACCGGATAATTTGTTGCATACAATATTGTTTTGATGGACTAAAATCTTATCCGTAAGTAAATGATAGTGTTAAATTTTAAGCGCTTACCTAATAAGTTTACCTAAACGACCCCTTAGCAGCACATTTTGTGGCCCAAACTTTTCCAAGACGGGGATTCATATTCTTTAATTTTTCATTTTTGAATTTTGATAGAGATGTGAACCTCAACTATTTCAAACAGATTTTGCAAAAAATAATATTTAACAGTTGGATATATTTTGATAGAACTTTTACATCCCGCCGCATTGCGCGGGTAGACAACTAGTATATTTTAATCAATTTTTATTGATATTATATTGTGTTGTTTATAGAAACTTGTTCTGATGAGACCAAAACATATTGTCGTACTATTAAGTATGATTATGACGTGGAAGAGGTAACTACAATACTACTAACAATAATTATGATATATTTATTTATATAGTCTTTTACATAAATTTTATTTTATAGGAAGCTAAGGAAAGTGAAAGTTTGAGTTGACGAGTTTGGCCGTTTGTGAGTTTACGGTTTTGAGTCAGTAATCTAGATTATTTGTCTATTACGAATCATGATTTTAGTTAGATTATGTCTAAACTCTAGTTTATACGCAACAACGATGTTTTTTAAGGAAAATACATGAACGTAGAACGTACTTTATTATACTTCTTTCATTTAAATGTTTATAGTTTTAAAAATATTTATTTTAGCATCCTATGTTGATGTAATCAAATGAGAACCACAAAAAAGTTTTAAACCCGTGAAAATTGATTAAAAAATATTTTTTGCATGCTTTTTTCTCATAAAATGGTAAAATTTAAAATATTGTTTCACGTATATTTGTTTTATAATATGCTAGTTTCACATCAATTTGTTTTTTGCTGTATAATAACTTTATGTGTATTTTTCGTTTCACTAAGTGAACCTAAAAGAAAAAAAAATTAGTGCAGGTTTTTTTAATAGTATAAATACAAACATATGTAAAACAATAGTTAAAATAATAAATAATATAAAAAATATTTTTATATCATTTTTTACATGGCTATCATTTAATTAAAATATATTTTTTAAATTTCGTTTTCTAATTACATTTTATTTGTTACGAATAAATGTCAACTTGTTGGGGTCTCCAGAATCCAAAGGTCCAAGTCCAACAGTCATAAATAAAAGACATTTATCTCTCTTTTTCTGATTTCTGAATTTCAATGGAAATAAACGAAGAAGAGTGGGAGCTTATCAACGACGATGGCTTCGTCTACAAGCGTCTCAAGCGCCCCCGTGTTCATCCCACCGCCGCCGCCGCCCAACGGCCGGATCCTGAAGCTGAAGCCAAAGCATACAGAGAACGAAAGAAGACGGTGCTATTAAAGCTCAAAACAAAGTATCAGCAAGAGATCCACCATTGGGAAGATTTGTCGAACACCTTGAAGTCATTGCAGGACCGTACCCAAAATCAACCACCACCCACCATACTCCAAGATCAGACGGTCTCCTTTTCGCAGGAGAATTCGTCGGATTCTAGTTATCAGGAACTCACCCACACCCTCCTCGCTCAGGTATTGACCTACCCTTTAGAAATTACTATATTTCGCCTTTTAACCTTCAGAAATCGATGTAATTCAAAACCACAACGAATTTTTGTTTCCAAGGATCCGCAATTATCTTCTATTTCTAGCCCTTGTTGCCAAGTTTTTTTTTCTTAAAATTGAGGGGTTTGGAGGTGATTTGGGGGAAATTTGAATATTTTGTAGGTTGAAGCTCAAGAAGCCACCATTTATGAGGTTTCAAGATTATGTGATGTTGCTGAAGCCCTATGCAGTGCTGAAGAGCAACGGTTGATGCAACCGTATATTGATTTACCAGTTTGGCGACCGTCCCCACAAGAGTTAATGACATCACTATTAGAAGAATGAGGGTTTCAACCATGGCTGTAATCTAACTTGGAGCTACAAGAAAGGTTTCAGATTCATCTTTAGAGAAGAAACCTTGATCATAGGATAAAAAGTGGGTAAGTCTCTCTTAACCAAGAATCTTGTGTAATTTATCTTCGTTTAGTGGCCGTAGATAGATTCTGTGAATGCTGAAGATGTCAACCATGCTTGATCAGCAAACAATGAGCTACTTATCTTAGAGAAGAAATACAGTGTTAGATGTAAGGAGCTAGGCTAGGAGATTTGGTTGCTCTTGTACAAGCATTTGAATGTATTTGAGATATTGTAAAAAATGTTGATTTAGAGATTCTTGTTCACGAGTTAACTAGAGTTTCTCAAGGATTTTAAAAGCAATAGATATAACCGAAAATAGCAAAGGACACCTACGGATTATGCTTTAGCAACTCATTTCCTCCTTAAGTGAATTTAGTGAACAAAGAGGCCTGCAAATCTTGAAAATGGATTTATTATCCTTCAAGGAGTTGAGTTAAAACACCCTTACTAAGAACTGTTTCAAGAGGGAAAATAGGTTGTTAAAGCAAAAGTTCGTTGGTTTGTTTGCCGTTTTCTTGGAATGTAATAGTTATGAGATGGAGGTGTTTTTTCGAATTGACGTAACATGAAACCTATTAGAGTACGAAAGCACCATGGAATTTCCAACTAAAGAAGGTGATGGTTTCACAATAGTGAATAGATGTTCTATTCTCAAGTTCAAAACTGACACAAAGAAGGGAAATGGGATTTGATCAGAGCCCACCGAGTGTTTGATGATGCTGGTTTGATATCGAAGTGAAGGTACAACTTTCACTGGTATGATGGTGAAACCCACCTGTAAATTTGGATGTTATACCAACGCTTTTGGCCACTTGAACCATCTGTAAGTTTAGAGCACCAAAAGCATGATCAGGTAACATTTTCCTGAATCGTAATAAAGATTTTCAGATTTCAAGAAGACTCGGATTTCCCAGAATCATGTCAAGCGACTAATATTGATGAAGTTACGAACCACTTCATTGAACTGTAGTGTGTAGTTGCAGTGAATGCTGTATTAGATAAGGCATATTGCCTGCATTCCACAGTTCATTTTGGCTGTTGCCCAGTTGCCCTTATGCTATGAATTCCCTAATTGAAATTTATGTTGAACTAATATTAGTATATGTTTAGCTGGATACGCTTGATTTTGTTTTCGTATTTGTGTATGTTTGTGTTGTGTGTTCCAAGTTTCAGCTCTACAATATGTTTTTTAATCTGTCAGCAACAAGAGTGCATTTTGTACAAGGACGGGCCGGTTGAGTGAGGTAGACCGGTGAAAGGATTGTTAAAGAATTTAGGGTTTTACTTTAACACCAGTAATTTACTGATCTTATCTTATATTCTTGATTTTTGTTCTTCTATTTTAGTGCATTTGTGTTACTTAGGGATCGTTTACCAAATGCTTATTGGGTAAGGAGCTGTTTGACAGTTGCTGAATGGCCTGGTGCAGAATGATTAAGAGGCCCTCATGATATAATGTAAAATGAAATATAATTGTTTGGTAATAATTTACAATGAAATTAGGGTGCCGAATGGTTGAGAGGCTCGTGATACAAAATCATTCAAAGCGTTTTAGAACCATTAAGAGACAAGCTTTTTTTTTGTCAAACAAGATTCACCTCTTAATGATTCAGAGGGTTGTCTCTTAATAGAACTATTAAGAGGTAAACAAACAACCCCTAAATATATATCTTTTTGTCGGAGATATTTGTTCATAGAATTACAAACCTGATATGCAATTTTTAGGACAAAAAAGTTGTTAATGTTGTAATTAAAAAGTAAATAAAAATTGTAACTTGGTATTATATATGTTATCTATACTATATTATAAAATATTTGACAAAAACTATTAAAATTCATTTTTTATGTATTAAGTACTGTTTATTGATACATATTATTTACGATTCAAGATTACAAGTAAATTGTGCATTTGTACAACCTATTATATTAAAACTCTATGTTTGAATTCGTGTAATTAACTGTAGATAAACATAATCAAATACTAGATATATATCTCATTTTAAATATGAAAAATCTAAAATATGTTTAGGATAATCATTGAATTCTAATAAAATATTGATTATTATCTTTATAAAAAATGATATTATTAATGAATGACTTCATTATTAAAACCAAATTAAATTATAATAAAAAAATTTATTAAAGAAAATTATACAAAAAAAAACAAGAACTTTTAAATATTTAATTTGATTATTAAAATTGATACATTTTTTTTTCAAAATTTTGCGATACCTTCAAAATTATATTTTATTCAAAAAATAAAAACATTATCGTTTTTTCAGTACCAAATAAAATCATATTATAATATCGACGAAAATAGAATAAAACAAAATATTAAAATCGAAACATATCTCGCTGCATTGTACGAGTACTCTTCTCGTATTATCAAACTTGTTTAATTATGCCTCACATCGTTCTGAAAATTGAAATTTTTTGAACGATTACAGGGGTAAAAGTAGAAATATTACAAAATAAGAGGACTAAAATAGAAAAGCCAAACCCCACCCACCCTATTGTATCGTGGGGGTAGTGAAGAAACGGCTCCCCCCTGATTAACCGCCCTTGTTACAATTTTTTAAATATATCAATCCCCTCTAATTTATACCATATTATAAATTTTTTTTTGATAAAAACTCTTAAATTTTTTTTTTATATAAAATATTATTTATTAATAAATATCACATAAAATTTAAGATTACAAGTAGAATGTGTATAAATACATCTTATTAAAGTTTTATGTTTGAATTCGTGTAACTAATAATGGATAAACGTAATCAAATACATGATAAATATCATTTTAAATAAAAAAATATAAAATACAATTAAGATAATCATTAAATTCTAAAAAAATACTTAATTACTATCCTAAAAAAATAAATTAGTTCGTTATTAAACTTCAATTAAATTATAATAAAATTTTGAATTAAATAAATTATACAAAAACGAGAACTTTTATATAGTTAATTTGATACTAATATTGTTTGTTTTAAAAAAAATTACAATATTCAAAACCATATAAAATCACATTATAACATTAATAGACTCAAAATATAAAATGAAACATTAAAATTAAGATATATCTCATTGTATTATACGAGTAAATCTTAAATCCAACGGTCACCAAGAGAGATCCATCTGGGCTACCGATAGGAAAGAAACCTCCTCTCTTTTTTTGGGTGTTTTAATGTTTGAAGGGTATCCATTTCAATATTTGCAGACGGAGTGCATATATATATATAAATAAATAGATACAAAATCTATATCTATATATTAGAAGGTTGAATGGATCATAGAGAATGAACCCCTGAATTGGTTAGATTTTGGGGGCCATATTTGCATACGGAAACAGGGGTTTGATCAGGGTTTCTGGTAAATTCGACAACAAAAAACGAGGGTTCGATTGTGGGTGGGGGTCTCGTAATCGGCATTTAGAGGTTGTCGTTGATTTGAGACCTCATGATGGCTGACGGTTTTCCAACTTCCAAGAAGACTGACAAAATCTTTGGTAAGGTATGATGATTGCAAATCTCTTCCATTTTTGATGAATTTATCGCAATGTTCTTCACATTCTTGTTTTATAGAATCCAATCAACGTCTGTAATCCCTTTGTTTATGAATCTTTTACGTTTTCCTTTTGGTCGGTAATTGTTATTTTCTTTGTTTTAAATTTCTTTTTATCGTGGTCGGTAAAATAAAACTCAACATAAATCATTGATCTTCAAAAATGTGATCGTATTTTGAAGGTAAGCAGCAGGATGTCGAGAATCCGAAGCATGATGTCGAATCTGGATTTGCGGACGTCCGTAGTGTTGTTTTTGTTGCTTCCGTCAGCGGTTGCCGGAATCTACTTTCACGGACAGAAAGTCACCTACTTTTTAAGGCCGTTATGGCAGTCTCCACCGAAGCCTTTCATTCACATCCCTCACTACTATCATCAAAACGTATCAATGGCTTCTCTATGCCAACTTCATGGTTGGGAGCTTCGCGATTATCCCCGGAGGGTATTCGATGCCGTCTTGTTTAGTAACGAGATCGACATGCTTACGATTAGATGGAAAGAGGTCTACCCTTATATCACTCAATTCGTTCTTCTCGAATCCAACTCAACGTTCACGAGTATGCCCAAACGCCTCAACTTTGCACTCAATCGGGAAAGGTTTGATTTTATCGAGTCGAGGTTGACTTACGGCACGATTGGTGGGAGGTTTCGGAAGGGCGAAAACCCGTTTATCGAAGAGGCTTATCAACGCGTTGCTCTCGACCAGCTTCTAAGAATAGCTGGGATTGAAGACGATGATCTTTTGATCATGTCGGATGTTGACGAGATTCCGAGCGCGCATACCATCGATCTTTTGCGATGGTGTGATGGCCCTCCGCCAGTCGTTCATCTGAATTTGAACAACTATTTGTACTCTTTCGAGTTCAATTTGGATCATAAAAGTTGGAGAGCTTCCGTTCATCAATATCGAAAGGGTAAAACAAGATATGCTCATTATCGGCAGAGCGACTACCTATTGGCGGACTCGGGATGGCATTGTAGTTTCTGCTTTAGAGAGATCAGTGATTTTGTGTTCAAGATGAAAGCCTATAGTCATACCGATAGAGTGCGATTTTCTCATTATCTCGACCCAGAAAGGATTCAGGATGTGATTTGCAATGGTAAGGACTTGTACGATATGCTTCCCGAGGAGTACACTTTCCGGGAGCTCATCGGGAAGATGGGTCCCATCCCTCATTCATATTCGGCAGTTCATCTCCCTATGCATCTGTTGAACAATGCTGAAACATACAGTTATCTTTTGCCCGGAAATTGCATCCGAGAAGATGGTTGAGTTTTCCGGTGCCCCGCCCTGCTTATTTTAACTTGAAGCGTCCATGGATTCAGGGGTGTTTACTTGTACATTATCGTCCCCCCAACACCGCCATGCCACCACCACGGTTAGCGGTCATCCAGGCTGTAGAGGTGTTTATCAACTGTTGTTTTTTGGTTAAATTTTACGTGCAGTTTATATGTATTGTTTTCTTTGAACCATTGCTGGAATAGATACCCATTTTCTAGACACTTGCCAAAATGAACATTCTATAAACATCCTTGATCCATGAGTCACAAATTACCAAATACATATTATACGAATTCTGAGGCCATAATAGATAACAAATGACAAAACTGAAGCCTTACGACGCTTGATCATCATCGTCCGTTAATTCAAAAGAGAAGTCCATAGCATCGTACCTTCAGTCTTTTTCAGGATTTGCACAAAATAACCGAATGAGATCAGTTTCATCCTCTATAACCGCTCTAACCACCCAAAAATGCTGTCTTGTGATGAAAACTGCAAGTCCTGTACATACGTCATAACGAAAAGTTGATGAACATGTGATTTTATTTCAAAAAAGAATTCAAAGTGGCTAGAAAAAGATGGTTCAGGCTTACAGCAAGGCTGAAATCAGGTGGAGTACCCATGTCCAGGTTATCAAGATCAGCAATTCCAGAAGTTGCACCTTTAGTTGTTCCTGAAGTATCATTGGTAGAGCCAGGTTGCGGTCCATGATTTGGCCTCGAGTCACCAAGAAGGGCGTAAGCATCAAAATCCTCATTGCAGAACAACGAATCATCAAATGCATCTAAATCAATCGCTTGTGAGTCGTCTTCCCAAATGGGTAACTCCATATTACCCGTCCTTCCAGTATTAGAAGAGGAAGGAAGGTATTTATTCTCAACATTCCAACCCGATTCCTGATCCAACATCAAGTAACAGCAGTCAGCATTTGTCACAAGAAAACACCAAATACTAAAGTGGGGCCTTGTTTTTTTTTGGGGGGGGGGGGTGTTTAAGAACGAAAAACATCAACCTGTTGTGGTGATTGGAGAATATAGTCAGTGGTGGCATCTTCACAAGAAACAGACTTTCCGGGCCTACATGGATCAGGAGCATCGGTCTCTGGAGTCCTTGGACTAGTTTGGGTCATCCATGCATCTAATTCATCAGTCAGAAAATGGTTATCAGTCTTTTCGGTCTGTTTCTGTGGCTGATAGAATATCTTTGAGACGACATATTGACCCTCCTTTTCATCTTCAATCGCTCCTAAATAGTATTCATGCATGACCCAGTTCAATTTACAAGGCTTGGAACCCCCACCAGCAGTCCCATAAAGGACCATTATCTTCTTGCATCCGATCTGAACTCCATTCTGCATAACAGCTTTTGTCTTGCCAGTTTTGTGCCAGCGAACATCCTTTGTCAAACCAGATTCGTTGCAAATCCTGCGACGTTTCCTTTGACCGGTAGTATATGCATTTTTGGTCCTATAAAAGAAATGGATACTGTTTCCATCTTTTGTAGCACCTATCAGAAAATAAGCCAAAAGGGTTAAAAGTCAAACATCAGTTTTGTCAACTCACAAGCCAAATGACTATGAACAGAATTAAATTTTCATAAATCACTTCAGAAGGAGTAAAAAGATGGAGGACAAAAAATAAGAACATTATTGTTCAATTGCCACGCCTGGAATACACACCAGAATTTGCTGATTTTTGCAGTTTCGACAAGCATTTTTAGACTACAGAAGTTAATAAAAGCATTGCATCGTAAGTACGCTGCTCACCTGGAAGATTTTCAGGATGTTTGTAGCATATTCCATCGTCTACATCAAGTGTAGGGATGAATTCATCAATGAATTGGTGTGGCTTTTCATTCCCAACGCCACATTTGGCTGCCAGATGTTCTAAGAGCTCGACATCAGTGGGTTCAAACTTCACACCAACGGGGAGCCCAGGCCACTCAACGGACACCTGCAAAGTGAAATGCATACAAGAGGTGAACTTTTCAATTGCAGAAGACAGTTATATTTATAAAAAACCATAGTTGTGACTGATTATGAAAAGTTGGAAAGATTCATCATTGCTTCAGCTACTTTGTTAGGTTTCTTACATCACTATTATCAATCCTGCAATGGCATTGCGGGCATTCCCTGTTTGCTCCACAGTCTTTGATTTGATGTACCAAAGGAAGACTAGAAGTCTTTACCTTCCTTGCAATACCTCTACCATCAACAATCCAACTTCTAGCATATTCAAAACATAAATTTACATTAGTGGCATAACCAACTTTTGTTGAAAAGGAGTAATGTAATAGCATAGAACCATCATACTCCTTTCATCCAAAAAGAAATATAGTTGGACAAAGGTGGCTGCTTCAATAATTATCATCAATATATATATCATAATGACCCACCAAATGGGTGGAAATCTGATTTTGGGTTATTAGCTAAAACAGAAAGAAATAAAAAGAAATTGGCCTTTTTAAGAATACAATACATAGGGTAAATATTTCCATTTGAAATCACCAACTAGTACATTTGTTGTTGTTCTTCTTAAACATGACCCCAAAAATTCTTACATATATATGGAATCATTTATCAACACTTTATCTTGGTCAAAAAGAGCATCACTGATTCTAAAAACTCCCATATTCTAATAAGAGAAATTGACCAAAATGGTCATTTCTCTTACATGGATTGGTCCTCCTAGTCATTCCTCTCCCGGCTTTACCCAAATGTCACTACCTCTGCAAGTGGTACCTCTCCCACTTGCGGACCTATCTAAAATACAAAAAAAAAATTACAATTTGTACCTAGATCCGCAGGTTAGGGAGGTGCCACTTGTGAGTTTTCTTTTGTCTTTTAACTAGGTCTGCAAGTGACATTTGGGTAAACCAGGGAGAAGAATGACCAGGAGACCGTTTCATGAGAAAGAAATGGCTATTTCGCCCAATTTCCTTTCTAACAGGGACAGAAAAAGTTTCCTACTACTGTAGGGTCTAAAAAGCATTTGATCGAAAAAGGAAACCCCCTTTAACATGCATCAAAACCCTCTATTGTTTACAAATTGCACATATTCTGCGATCTTTGTTCTACATCAAAAAAAAAGGAAACCCGTTCAAGTCTAGAGCAGAAATCACGTAAGGAATCTAATCTTAAGGATCCATTGATTTGATAAGGTACTCCCTCTATAGAAATAGAGTAACTCAATGCTCACATAAAAGTAGAAGCAGCTGATACACACACGACTTACATCTATCTTCCATATGCTGGATACGAACAATCATAAATAAGAAGCGACCATTAATATTGGATTGATTCACCACCACAAGGGTCTGGTGCACTCGTGTGCTTGAGACTTGAGCGCGTGTTTGAAATCAATAATCAATCATTCAATCACACACACATAGAGCAGAGAACTAGCTGGGTTTTAACGGGTAAGGCTATACTAAACCCCTAGATAAAAATCATCCCAGACGACGATCGGAAAATCCTTTTTCTGGGAAACTAAACCCCCAAAAACAGGATCCAGAAGGAAGAGAAATCAAAGGGTTTATAACATCAATAGCACAAAATCACTTACTTGGCCATTCCTGGAAGGTAGAATCGGTGCAAGATTGTTCAACATTTGACAGAGAGATTGAGAGGAAGAAGGTGCCGGTGAGTGTAGCGCAATTTCCCTTCTCTCTCTCTAGACAACCAAGTTATGTAGTGAGAGTGTGTTGGTTTGTATGCGCGTGAGGGTGGAAAAAGACATATGCGAGCGGGAAATCAAAGATACGACTCCCGAGCCTCAGGTTCGCTATACATCACATATTTTTACATTTATGGTCCCTGTGATTTTCCGTTTTACACGGTTTTCGTCCCTAAAGTTTAAAAACAAGAGGTTAGTTTGTGAAAATGCTCGAAATTATCACCCATTCTAACGGTGGTTGATTTTTAGATGTTGAGTGAGGGGAATTATAGTCTTTTCTTATTTTCTCTCGTTTTTATGTCAATACAAATATATATTTTATATATAGAAATACATTATATTTAATGTGCATATACGCACGCATGCACGATCATATACACACAGAGCCACAGACTCAATTTCAACGAAGTTTCTAGCAACACTCTACCTTCCTCGTGTCCGACAAAGTCTTAGGCGTGCCTCATCTTGGAACTTCGATTGAACACCAACCAACTCCCTTCCCAATGAGCAATGAACATCTAACAAGTCCTTACTGATAAACACTCACGCCTTCCTTTATCGTGGTTTCTCTACATATTGTTATCCTTAACCACCACCACCGTTGTTCCTTACGTAAAAGACCCATAAGAAGCAATCAAAAATAGCCCTCTCGGATAAATCAAATCCAATTTTTTTTATTTCTTGGTATATCTCTTTCTTCTGCACCGTTCACCTTGCTAAGTAGAAAACTTTGAAAATTAAAGATTTTTTTTTGCTTCAACAGTTATGAAAAATGGTGTGTTGAAATAGAGGGAAAAAAAATTAAATGGAATCTCTAAATTTGGAGAAATTTCTGAAACTATATTGAAGATAAATAAATAATATATTAATTCCTTTCTAAAATTAAAATGTATTAAAATTAAATTTGTATAAGAGAAAATTAATATTTTATTAATATAATTAATGTTAGAATTATTAAAATAGAGTAACTGTTGGAGTTGAACATCATTTTTCATGAAAATTTTAACTTTTAATAATCTATTACATAATTATTATAACATAGTTGTTGAAGATGCCTTCAAAATACCGTTTAGTTAATAGTGTTAAAGAAAAGTGTTAATTCTAAATATTTTTATAAACCACAATGGTTAAGTTGTAGTTTTAAAATTGTAACAAAATAAAAATAAAAAAAATGTAATTTACTCTAATTTATAAGAAAAGGTCTTGCTTTTTTGACCTTGACCATAGAACTTATAACGCAAAGAGTTAAATGTAAATTTGGTCCCTGTAGTTTGCATAAATTAACGAGTAATATCCTTAGAAAGAACTATTAACGAAAGACGTCCTTGTATTCTTATTTTTATAACGAATATAGTCCTTTCTCTAACTCTTTCAGTTAAGTTTTCGTTAGTGAAAGGTAACTTTGTTTACTTACCGCCCTCTTTTCTCAACTTAATTTTTAATAACATATCTGGTCTCTTAAACTACTTTTCATTTTGTAATATATTTGGACCCTCAAACTAATTTACATTATTATAACAAATTTGGTCTCTCAAACTATTTTTTATTTTTATAACAGATTTGATCTTTCTCTCAACCTTTATATTTAGGATTTGGTCATTTCATTTAATTAATAAAACTTGGTGGCATAAACATATATTTTCTAAATATAATTAACAAAATAATTAAATAAATTTTGAAACTTAGATTTTGCCATGAAATATCTGATTTTTCAAAAATATAACTTCAATTAAATCTTTTAACTCAAATAAAACATAATTTTGATAAATATTTTTTAATTAGTTGAAAATTAAAAAAACCCGATGATATATTAAATAACAAGACATAAAAATATAAGTTTAAATAATTTAATAAAATTAATTAATAAAAAAAATATATTACAGTTACATAACATATAAAAATACAACTTTAACTTTTATATACATTAAAAATGGTTATAATTAATAAACTAATAAATATATAAAAATATTATAATTTAACATTAGCTGATCGAAAATTATTAGTGTTATTATGACGTGTTAAGTTAAATCACTAATATATCATAATAAAACTAATAATCTTTAACCGATTAGTGCTAAATTATAATATTTTTATATATTTATTAATTATAATTATAACTAAAATTCAAAATTATACTCTATTTGATCTACAGGATTTTGTGGAAATCATATTTTTTAAAAGAAAATATTTCATGGCAAAATTTAAGTTTCTAATTTTATTTAATTACTCTGTTAATTATATTTATAAAATATACGTTTGTGCACCAAATTTTATTGGTTAAATGGAGGGATCAAATCCTAAAGTTGAAAATTGAGGGAGGATCAAATTTGTTATAAAAATAAAAAATAGTTCAAGAGACCAAATATGTTATAATAACGTATATTAGTATGAAGAACCAAATATGTTACAAAATGAAAAGTAGTTTGAACGATTATATATGTTATTGAAAATTAACGTTGAAGAAAAATGATGGTGAATAGACAAAAATACCCTCTCACTAATGGAAACTTAACTAAAAGAGTTAGATGAAGAACTATATCCATTATAAAAATGAAGCTAATCACAAGGATGATGCATGATTGGTTTGAGTTTGGCTCCAAAGGTCAAAAGTACCAGGAGATTTCATACTAAAATCCAAGGAGGAATAAAAATCCTCTTGTGGTCACGGAAGTTCTAATACGGTGACTTTGGGCTATCTGCAAAGCAGGTGGTCGTCCTGGGATTAGTCGGCTCGCACAGCGGGTTGGATATCCATGTTAATAAAAAAATAAAAAATGAAACTATAAGAACCGTCTTTGATATAATTCTTTTCAGGGATCTTACTCGTTAATTTATGTAAGTTACCAAATTTGTATTTAACTCTAACATAAAAGAATAATGGAATTTTAGATTATAAATAAAAGTGATTGGTTGTTTATATTAAAAATATCATATATGTTAACAGATAATTAAATAAATCTATGAAAATGCTATTTTAATTAAAAAATGCTTTATTTTTTTAAAGGTATTTTAAATGTGATTTCTTAATATGATATAAAACTAGAAGGATACTCGCATAATATAACGAGATATAACTTACTTTTAATGTTTCGTTTTATTTATGTTGATATAATACGTTTTTAGTGGTTTTGAGAAATATATAATGTTTTTATTTTTGAATAAAAATATAAATTTAAATATATCATAAAAATTTGGAAAAAAAATATATCAATAATTTACTATTTAAAAATATGATTTTTTATGTAATTTTTTTAATTAAATATTTTATTTAGATTTAACAACGACTATCGTTTAATAATATATTTTTTATAAATWTRATAATTAAATATTTTGTTATAACTAATGATTATTCTAATTATATTTTAGATTTTTTTATTTAAAATAAGATGTTTATTTCGTATTTAATTATGTTTATTTATAGTTAGTTACACAAATACAAAAATAAAACTTTAATAAATCATACTTACATATAATTTATTTATGATCTTTAATTTTAAATAACATGTATTAATAGATACTACTTTATACATAAAAATAATTTTTAGGAATTTTTATTAAATATTTTATAATATAATATATAAAAATACGAAATCACCCAACATGAGTAAGGACCGTTTACCAAGCCTAGTTCCGAATCTATGATCTAGAACTTGCCTGGTGAAAATGGGTCAATGTTTGTGGGACCAAGAAGTCAACTTCTTTTCCAAGTAACCAACGTGGACACATATCCCCTCTGAACTTAATCAATATGACAAAGCTAGTACTCCTTCTTTAACTATTATCATAGTAGTCTCCGTAACTTTGAACAATTTACACAAGTGACCCCTGAACTCTGCTTAAGACCAAAGACAGTTACTTGGGGATATCTTTTTGATAAATGTTAGTTGAAAACTGCAAAATGATAAATAAATGATCTATTAATAATCATTCAATTCCAACAATTCATAATCTAAAACCACAAGGGTTGTGGCGTAATGGTTGAAGTCTTGGGGAATGTGTTGGAGTATCTCATCCGTCGATCAAATACAAACCATTAAATTTGTACAAACTGTGCAAATGACCATCTTCCGTCGATTTCATTGTTTAATCTTATAATATTATAAAATTTGGATTTATATAACCAAATACAAACTTCAGAATATATTTTTATTAACCGATTATTTTAAATAATTATTACATATAATATGAATAATAACAAAGTTGTTTAATTTTACATATCCTAATTAATTAATAATTTATCAAAAAAATAATTTAAATATTTTATTAAGATTAATTATCGAAATTTTATTTATTTATCAAAGAAAATAAATACAACTTTAATTTTTATATAACTTATAAAACATTTTAAAAATTGTTATGTCTACTTCTATTATTTATATATATAATATAAAAATAATTGTATGATAAATGATAATTTTAAATAATTTATAGTCAACAAGTAAAATTAAAAAAAGACTTGACAAAATTACACGAGTAATTTAAAAAAAGTAGCTATTTTTATGAAAAGCCATGTCTATTCATTATCCAAATACGATGAACAAAACAACACTGGATGATTATTTTTAATGCATTTATAGTCTCATAATTTGTTTAAAATCGCTCAATTCTTTCGAACGATGCAGTTATTTTAACATATTTACTGAGGAGCAGTTTACCATCACTAACCAGGTAAGCATTTACCGGATAAAATTATCGACCGTCAAAACGATATAGTAAAATTGTTGGTAAAACGCCTCTTACTCGATAAGTGCTATCGGGATAGAGTCACCCGCTCACTTACCGGATAAAGTTCTGCGTCATATGCTCACGTGGTTAGCGTTTGGTATACGACTCCTAAATAATTGATAGTTTATGATATAAACTAAATACAATTGTTAAAAGCATAAGAGAAGTTGGATTCAATTCTACAGCTTCTCCATCAAATGCTAACACAAAGTCGTAATGCACCCAACTCTTTTTGCTCCTTTTTAACTGTATGCACAAGTGTGTTCCAAGCTCTCCTCCTTCCACCATTAACAATACTGATAAAAGCAGGAGAAAATACCTGTACGGCTATTTCCCTTGGCGGTTTTTGGTGTTTCCTCGTCCGTTTTCGCAATTAAGGTGCTTGTACCAGGAGAATCGGGAGAAAATACGGTATTCTGACAAGTGAAAATCCGAGGTGGGATTGCTGTGGGCATGGGTTCGGGGGGGAAGTTAGCAGACAAATAATGAAGAAGCATCTGTATTATTTGACCGAAGTTTGGCCGACCATTTGGATCCTCCTTCCAACAAGATGTCACGATTAAAGCCAAATCTTCAGGGAGCCCATCAGCACTCGGCCTCACATTCTGTTGTACAACAAAACCGACACGAATCAAAAGGCTGAGATTTGTTCTATAAATAAAACTTCATTATATTTCAGAAGAAAAGATGGTTGAATAAAATGATTTCAGATGGCACGTACGTACCTTGAAAGCAGCAGCATAAGCCGCCTGAAGATTTGACATGCCCTCAAATGGTAACTTATTGTGTATGAGCTCCCACAACACGATTGCAAAGCTGTAGGCATCGACCTTGTGGTTATAATGCTTCTTCTCACCTTGCCTTAGTGTTACAGTGCTGTAAAGCTACAAACATATAACAAAAACTGGTTTTTCAATGCACAAGAAACTCCAATTTAGGAGAAATATAGAGGTAACTAAATCTAAAACATGAACTATTTAAAAGTGGTTACCTCCGGAGCCATCCAACGATAGGTTCCAGTTTCAGCGGTCATCATCTCCGTTAAAGATTCTTCTCTCGCCAAACCAAAATCAGCAAGTTCCACAATTTTGTGATCTGCTGTCAGCAGCAGGTTTTCTGGAAACAATAATTAGATGAAAATTTATGAACTAATTGAAATGGAGAGAAGCATAATCGGAAGTAAACAAGCAGACTCATTTGAGTACAATCTTGAATTTCTTTAACAGAGTGCAGTGAGATCAACTCAATGAAGCTTTAGTTAGAACAGAAAACAAGCTGACACAAGCCAAACCAGAATCTCTTCTTTACCACAAAGTCCATACAAGACTGTTACTACAATAAAAGTTGGTTCCACCAAATATGTCTAAATGTCCTAATATACTTCTTTATAGGAAGCAATTGTGTGTCTTATATAAAACTGTCACAATAGGATGATAGGACGTACTAGGCATCCTAACAAGTTGTTTAGGACTCTCTTGAATTAAAGTGTGTTGTTAGCTTTTTTTAGCACACTTTTGAGAAGTGTTCTATAAAGGGCACTTGTTTTTTTTTAAGACCTCTTTGTCAAATAATGTCACTTAAAAATAAAACGTTTTATTTTAAAAAGTGTCTTAAAAAACTTGTTAGGATGTGCAATAACATCTTATCAACTTATTGTAACATCTACACAATAGGACGTAATAGTTTGGTCCTATAAAATTAAGTGCAAAAAACAGTCTATTAGGACATTTAGACGTATTTGACATCCTATAAACCCGATTTTGTTGTAGTGAGTGCTGAATCCTAGACAATCGAAGATGTGTTTCTACAATATAATCATCTGCATTTGTTTAAATTATAGTACCAAATCAGTTTTACAATAGAATCCCCACTTTAAGTGATCCCACAATGAGAAGGATGATAATGAGGAACAAGTGAAGGGCAACTTACCAGGTTTTAAGTCACGGTGAATGATCCCGTGTGAGTGTAAGCATTCCATTGCACGAGCTATATCAAGTGCAAACCCTATAGCAACTCGTGTATCCAGTCCCCTTGGCCGCATATTCACCAAGTATTTCCTTAATGTTCCACCAGTAAGAAGCTCAGTTACTATCACCATCACTGGTTCCTTGCATGCTCCAATAAACTGTGAATTAGAGTAACATGTATGGATGGTTTTATATACAGGATTTGACATTCAATATACGATCTTATTGCTTTGATCATATCAACACACTACCTTTACTAAGTTCTTATGTCGCACTTTCGACAACATAGCAATTTCTCTTCCAAATCGGCCATCAATTTTTGCATTGTTCTCAGAAGTATCACCTTTGTTTAAAATTTTAATTGCAACGTTCTGGTTCTTGTATCTGGGAAAATGCATAAAATCAAGAAGATCAACAATGTCAGCTTTAGCAACTCGATAAACAACTTATTCTATGCTAACAATGCAATTCAGTAACTCAGAAAGATTGTAACAGACATCAAATTATTATGATTAACCGAGCATCTTAGCAAGCAGATTTCTCAAATTCAAGAACATGATATGCATCTTCGCAGTTAGTTAATATGAAATTCTAAACTGTGGTTTTTTTTTAAACGATTTGATTCTGATGAAGAAAAAAGTGGACTTACTTTCCCTCATAGACCTTGGCATGTGCACCCTCTCCGATCTTTGGACCGACAAAAAGCAGCTTTGGATCAATCAACCACTTGGCTTCCAAGTTAAACTCCCCTGCCGAATAAAACCCACTTCCAGATCCCATTTCCTTGTACCGTATCTCTAAAATCTCGTTGAGGATGTAACACAAACACCTTACAATCAAAATTTCCAAGACCACATTTTGAAGTAAGAGCCGCAACGAGAAAGATCAATTGCAAGTGAAGAAGTCCAGGGGAAGAGACACTTGAGCTTCAAATTCAATGGCGGAGAATCCTACTAAGATCATTCACAGAATCAAGAAGTTGGAATCAGAATGGGTTTGTTTGTAAATTGTAAGAGAAAACAGAAAAGACCCATTACAGAAGTTTGTGTAATGAATCAGAGCATATGAATGGTGGTTGGGAAATGGGAATACAAAAACAAAAGGTCAAACGAGAAAAGGAAGAGAGCATTAAAAGGAAAGAAGAACCCAGATAAGTAGTTGAATTAAAGAGAGTATATTGAAGGCTCTATTTGAGGGAGATGGGCAGAGATTGAGGAAGGGAATTGGGAGAGTGTGTCAGTGTGTGGATTATTCAAGTCATTAAAAATAATTAGGTGAGAAAAGGCCAAAGTTGATGGCGTAAAGTGGCAAGATTTGGGTTATGCGACACGTGGTTCTAGATTATTTATTCCTTCAAATTTATCTAAAACATCGTCTTCCATCTTTTAAAAATCAAATTATTTATTTTATTTATATTGTCGAATAAATAAGTCGATTATCTTACTCCAAAATAATGTATTTCTTTATTATAAAATATAATAAATTACTCATTTAGGTTTGTTGATTAAATGTGCATTCTTTTATTTAGCTAGAAGAGTACTCGATTTTTATTTTTTGGTCTCTATTGATGTTATAATATATATTTATGTGGTTTTGAGCAAGCAGTGCCGTCTTTGGGGGAGGACAGTACGGACGCACACCCAGGGCCCAAAAATATCAGGGACCCAAATATTTTTCTTTTAAAATACAATAGTTGTTTAAAAGAATTTAATAAATTAAAGAAACACAAAAAATTATAGCATATAATAAGAGGCAAAAAAAATTAGTAGATAACAAGAGCCCAAAAATATATCAATTAATTACATTGGCGAAGAAAAATAAAAAAAATTAATTGATTATTCATTATATGTTATTGTTTATTGTCTTTCTAATTTTTTTATCTTCAACAAGATCCAATGATACTGGTTATTACTATCTATATATGCTTGATTATTTGTGTGCTTCAACAATTCAACGTTAAGATCATGTGTTTGTTATTGTTATATATTTTTGTTGGATATTTTCATCAATTTGTGCTTCTATTGACTATTGCTATTTGGTTATGTTGTTTTAATTATTTTTGTTGACTATTGTTATCTATTTTTGCTTCTACATAATATATTTTACTATTGTTTGACAATCAATCTATTGTTCTTATAATTTATGACGTATTTCATGGTTTTGTGATTAAATAATAATTTTTTATAACTAGATGTATTTTAGTAATTTCTCTTATATATGTTATGTTCCGTAAACTTTTGATCTTAACATCTTATTTTAGTTGAGCACAAAAAGAAGAAAAATAAAATTTAAATATTTTCATCGATTGTTTGACTTATGTATCTTTCATTTGGATTCTACTACACCACAAAATTCTATTTAAGTGATTAAACAATCATTTGTTGAGCTTGCATATTATATGTTTAATTCATTATTTATTTTTATTGGATCTCAATTGATCATCCTTTCTTTCATATTCTTATCGATTCTCATTTGTCTACTTGTCTAGAAAACCTTGATAATCTTTTTTATTTATTGATATTTCATTGACCCTCACGATTATTTCATTCACACGAATTTTCTTTTTGTATCAAAATAATACATATTTCTTGTTATGAACTAAAAGAGATTCATACTTTTTATAAAATTTATCAACCATAGTTTATATACTTTTGGTTTCAAATTACCTAATAAGAAGTACGTAAATTTAAGTACTCTTTTATATATCTATAATAAATTTACTAAGATTTATTTCTTTAGTAAATTATCAACATTTCTTGTACTCAATTTTATACTAATGAAAACATTTATTGAATTTTTTCCGTACTTACTGAGTGTCACTACAAGAAAAGTGAGCTTTAACGATGTGCCTTTTAGCGATGACATGTTTTCACCACAAGTTATAACAACGACATGTTGTAATATACTCTTTCTGATGATAAAATGGACTTTTAGCGATGACAAAGGTCGTTGCTAAAAGCCTTGTTTATTGCAGTAGACCCTATTTTTATGTTCGTCCATGACCTATAAAATGTCAGGAACGGGCCTGTGAGCAAGTTGTGTTTACGCATAATTTATTTGCGATCTTGAATTTTAAGTAATATACATCAAAAAACAGTATTTCATGTATAATAAATGATTTTTAAGAGTTTTTGTCAAATAATTTAAAATATAATATAAATTACTTTAGTTTTATAGAATATATCATAAGTCAGAGGTGGTCATTACATCAACTTTTTGAGTAAATATAGGTCTGTTTATCAAATGGTTATTATGTAATATTTATTAGGTCATTTACTTTATTGGATGAGTATGTTAAGGACTAATATCCTAAATTACTTGGTTAGAGGCATTTCGAAAATCGAGGTTCTTAACGTGATTGAGGGAGAAGACATTTATCCTATTAATGATTACCGATGAGAGATGATTAAGAACAATCGATTTTGATGGTTGAGAATGTTACCCGATAAGATAATTGAGGATAACAACTCTTTATCGTTAGACATTTACCCAATAAACAATTGGGGGTCGTTTACTAAGCACTTACTTGGTAAGTGTTTACCGGATAAATTTTCTCATCGGATAAACATGAGAAGGGCTAAGAATCTTACCGGGTAAGAGCAACGAGAAGGAGGAAAAGTCTTACCCGGTAAGTGAGGATGACGACTCTTATCCAGGTAAACGTTTACCCAGTAAATTATTGTATTCTATATGTTTTGATGTACTAAAATCTTATGCATCAAAATAAATTATAGTGTTGACTCCTATCGATAAACGCTTATCGGGAAAACGGCCCCTTGGTAAACAAGAAGTTAGTTTCATTTAAAGAACAACAGTAAAATCATTGAGTTATTAATTGTTTTAAAAAAATGATTGACTAGCTAGCTCGAATTCATGAATTAAGATGATTATGAACGTGATATTTGGTTCATAAAATGGAATATGTCAGAATTAGAATCTGTCAAATGATTTGAAAATAATACTTATTAGAAATAATGATTTCTCTTCAATTCAGATCAAGATAGACCATACCCTAATAATTGGATGTGAACTTTTCGGTTTTGGGTACTTAGCTTTATCAAATGAATACGAACATCTTTCAAAATTTCAAATGGATTTGCTGAAACTTGTTAGCGGATGGTGGTAAAAAAAAAAACTCGTGATGCTTGTGTTAACAGTGTTTGGATTGTGATAGCGATTGAACTGAGGATAGTGGTGATCGACGGTTGACTGACTATAGTAGTGAGCGATCGTTGAACCGGCTATCGAGAGTGGTGGGACTCTTAGCGATGATGGTCGACAAGGTTGAAGATATGGAGAAAAATGACGAAGTATATCAATATGATTGTCACACCATCAATAAGTTAAAAAATATTTAATTTTATTTACCTTCAAGCCATAACTTACCTATGGCACATTAGGTTTTTTACTTTGCCATAAACCCTTAAATATGACTTCTAAAAATACATTCTTCAAATCAAAAAATAAAACAAGATACGTTCTATTTTAATGCAATTTAAACCCAACAACACTCATAAAAGATATTTCATTTTTAAAATGTTCATTTTTTTAATAAATAGCCCATATTATTGTTTAGAGATGGCCAAATGGACCCGGCCCAGGCCTAGGAGAGGGATTGATTTGGGATCGGCTTAGCCCGAGACCGATTGGTACCGGTTAAGGACCGGTTACGTTTTTCGTCAAAAAACCCAGTTTGGCGCAACCCGGGACTGGTTATGGGCCCGGCCTGCCGAGACCGACCCGATTTTTTAGAAAAAAAATGTATTTTTAATTTTTTTAAACTTTCTAAGCGTATTTGATTGAAAATGAAATAAAACGTATTTTTTAAGTGTATTTGATTGTAAACCAATTATAAAACTACAACAAAACGTATCTTTTAAGTTTATTTGATTGTCTCAATTACATGTTTTAAAGTGTATTAGAAATTTAGAATAACACTAAAAGGGTACTCGCGCAATACACCGAGATACGTCTCAATTTTAATGTTTCGTTTTATTACGTCGATATTATAATACGATTTTATGTAGTACTGCAAAATGTGAATAAAATATAAATATGAATGTATCATAAAACTTTGAAAAAAAATGTCGATTTTAGAATCAAATTAAATATTTAAAAGTTCTTGTTTATTTTTGTATAATTTCTTTGATTCAATTTTTTTTATTATCTATACTATATTATAAAGCATTTGGCTAAAAGTCTTAAAAACTCTTAAACTCTTAAA